GAAGGTGTTGCGTACCATCTACGGTGGAGTGCAGATGGATGACGGAACGTGGAGGAGGCGAATGAACCACGAATTGCACCAGCTGCTGGGAGAACCATCCATCGTCCACATTGCAAAAATTGGGCGACTACGGTGGGCTGGGCACGTCGTAAGAATGCCGCACGACGACCCAGTGAAAATGGTTCTAGAAAGCGACCCAACAGGAACAAGAAGAAGAGGCGCGCAGCGGGCAAGGTGGATCGACCAAGTAGAAGGTGACCTGCGGACCCTTCGCAGACTACGAGGCTGGCGAACTGTGGCCATGGATCGAGTAGAGTGGAGACGACTTCTTCGGACAGCAGAGGACAACAAGGCCTTAGCCTGATTGGTAAGGTAAGTATCGGGATCCGTATTCGGGTTCCCCATTGGAATTCGTATTCGGTTTCCCCATCGGGATCCGTCTACGGAATCCCCATCAAGACCCGTATTCTGTTTCCCCATCAGGATCCGTATTCGGTTTCCCCATCGGGATCCGTATTCGGTTTCACCATCGGGATCCGTATTCGGTTTCACCATCGGGATCCGTATTTGGTTTCCCCATCAGGATACGTATTCGGTTTCCCCATCGGGATCCATCTACGGAATCCCAATCGGGATCCGTATTCGGTTCCCCCATCGGGATCCGTATTCGGTTTCCCCATCGGGATTCGTATTTGGTTTCCCCATCGGGATCCGTCTATGAAATCGCCATCAAGACCCTTATTCGGTTTCCCCATCGGGATCCGTATTCGGGTTCCCCATCGGGAGTCGTATTCGTTTTCCCCATCGGGATCCGTCTACGGAATCCCCATCAAGACCCGTATTCGGCTTCCCCATCGAGATCCTTTTACGGAATCCCAATCGGGACTCGTATTCGGTTTCCCCATCCGTATTCGGTTTCCCCATCGGGATCCGTATTCGGTTTTCCCATCGAGATCCTTTTACGGAATCCCAATCCGGACCCGTATTCGGTTTCCCCATCGGGATCCGTATTCGGTTTCCCCATCGGGATCTGTCTATGGAACCCGTCATCGGGATCCACCTACGGAACCCGTTATCGGGATCAGTCTACGGAACCCGTTATCGGGATCCGATTACGGAACCCGTCATTGGGATCGGATTTCCAACGGGGTCCACTTCCACGTAGTATTTAGTATATCCGGAGAACTTTGAGATTTGGACGTAATTGCTTTTGTAAACAAGCACGTCTATCGCCGATTAATCGTAAATTGAAACTTATTCTCGCGAACAAACCATACTAAATTATAAAGGAATCATTTCTCTACCTGTTTGTGCCGTTAATTTTTTAGATTGAGCTTTAATTTGCGAGAAATTGGCGATTGACGTGTTTGTTTACAAAAGCAATTACGCCATAATCTCAAAGTTCTCCGGAATTATTTATTTATTCGTCCATCAAAAAACACATGCACTAACCTGCAAAGAGATCCGGCTTCGTACTCTCCGCCGGGTTCCAGCGTCGGACTTCCTACCAGGATCCGGCTTCGGACTGGTGCACTTTTCTAAAAAAAAAACATAATTACATTAAATAGGTACATTAATTCACATTTACTTACCTGAAAAACAGCCTTGCTGATTTACCACACTGAAAAAAGTTTTCAAATAGTTTCCATTGGGAACGCACATGATATTTTTCCAATAACAAAATTAATGATTTTTACCTGAAATTCACATAAGATTCATATGATCACATGAATTCTATGTGATAAATCACATAAATTTCATTGGACACATAAGGTTCATGTGATTTTGTAGTGCGATTCCCAATTATGAGATCACATGAAAGTTATGTGAAATTCTTATGGATATTTTCCATTGGAAATGTGATTTATTTTTTGAGTGCACCACTTTCCCGGACTAATTTGCCAAAACAACACACACCGCGAAAACACGGCCAATGTGATCGACCCAAATTTGAATACAGTGTACTCAAAATCAAAAAAAAAGTGCAGGAACGCAACGATGAGTAAATTTGCCTCGAGATTTGCCTCATGTTTTCCTGTGGAAAACCTCAAAAATCTTCCAGAAAATTAGGATTGACGAAAATCTACAGAATCCAATCTTTACTTTTCTTATTTTCGGAAAATTTTTCCTGGAAAAACCTGGAAAACCTGGAAAAACAGAGGGAAATTAACTCAAAACTGAGTTCCTGTACTTTTTGCGATTTATGAGTGAACTAAACTCAAATTTGGGTGTTCTCATTTGCCGTGTAGTGCTGACTCAGGACAAAACAAACTTTGCATGCGCCAAAGGGCCTCAGGGACTCTAGTTTTCTTTTTGCGATTCAGCTAATAAACGCCAAATAACGCGAGTTATTGACAGATCAACATCAGTTGTTTGTAATGGAACGTCCATCTGACACCTACACCCTGAATAATTTTGGTATACGCTAATGCAGCAGCGATGTATAGAGCTTTACTTCAAAAATGAGAATGACAATGACCTTTCTGTCGTTCATAACACGCACACTTGCGCAATCCCATTTTCAAGTGCGAAGTTTGTTATCCTCACTTTCGCTTCAGCCAGATATGCTGGTTTGTTATTGTTATCCTCACATTCGGACCATCAATACTCGAGCGCATAGAATCAGCCCAGTGGCAGGCGCGTAGACAACATGTTATACCGTGACAGCGGGCCCAGAACAGCAAAATAAACGATTTGAGCCCGGGACACAATGAGCTGGATTACCGAGGTGAAGCAATCACTCACACAACCACTGTACGATACACGCAAGTACACGCAAGTAGTGACGTCACTACTTGCGTTTACGTTGATTTTTTGGTTTACTAATACAACCCTATTTCACGATCTGCGCCACCTCTCTCTGTATCTCATTGCCCGGGACATGCTGCCTACTGTCAAACGCTGCTAATTGTATAGGCCTTGTCACTGGCCTGCATAGAATGGACCGAGGAATGCATATGCATGCAGGGTGGCCAGATGGTTTTCTTCGTTTGCCTTGGAATTAAAATTATCGTTTCAAATGAAAACCTCGTTGAAAACGTTCTGTATACGTTAAACATAACGTCGGACATAGTGTGCTGTATTCGTACACTGATGCGGTATACAGAACACTATAGAGATTGCTGACGTTTATCGTACGCACACTACGTCACGTATAAATACGTATACGCAAAATGTTTTCATCGGGAAAAAAAACTTCATACACGAAACGAAAATCAATTATTTAATTCATGTGTTTCACTTATACATTTTTGCCAAAGCATCAGCCTTATACATTCCATAAGACAAACCACATAGGTCCTATTAGAATGCATAAAAGGTATGTGTGACCACTTATACATTTCATTTGACACATGATCTTTATTAACTTTTTGCAAGGCGTCTGCTTATTAGTTGACTTATACAATTTATGAATAATCAGCAATGGAAATTTGCCAAAAGGTATAAGGAGATTTCTATCCGTGTAGCAGAAAATTTTCCTGATGAAAACAAATCACTGACACAATTTTTGAATTGAAACGATAATAATCAATTAAAACACTAATTAACTCTTGCACTGTAACGTCACCAGGGCATTTGTTTTACATACAAATAAACATTACCCACAGCCCGCATAAACGCGAACCATAAATTGACCTTACCTAAAATGGTTAAAAATGGTTTATAATCCCTGCTAAACTTTAACTGAAATGGTTATGGAACTTTACATGAACGTTTAATGATAAAGTTTCAACCTTATGTATTATGGTTTTTTGGAACTGGACCTTACAAATAATGGGTTGTTAAGAACCATTACCATTCCAAATTCTTATTTTCTCCATACATTTTCAGAAAGAGAACTATATAAGAACGTTTTTACTTATGATTTGAGAACATTAATGGTAATGGTTATGGTAGTCAGTAAGGTCCATCAATGGTTTTGTATTATCGCTCAACTTTACGTGGAATATATCGTGAATTGGTAATCAGTAAATTACAAGCAACCAATTCGCGATATATTCCACATAAAGTTGATCGATGTTACAAAACCATTCGTGGACCTTACTGACTACCATAACCATTACCATTAAAGTTCTCAAACCATAAGTTAAAAGGTTCTAATATAGTTCTCTTTCCGAAATTGTATGGAGAAAACAAGAATTTGGAACGGTAATGGTTCTTAACAACCCATTATTTGTAAGGTCCAGTTTAAAAAAACCATAATACATAAGGTTGAAACTTTATCATTAAACGTTCATGTAAAGTTCCATAACCATTTCAGTTAAAGTTTAGCAGGGATTATAAACCATTTTTAACCATTTTAGGTAAGGTCAATTTATGGTTCGCGTTTATGCGGGAGGGCATGCCAAAATTTCCTTCAGTGATTTGAGGCTATGTCAGTCGTGCAAGAGTTAATGATGGTAAGCTCTACCTTGTAATCGCAATGTGCTATTTTATATGATTGCACCGAGAATTGCGCATTGGGCTTCAGTTCCATTTTTAATCGAGTTTTTAATGCAGATAACGAATATGTATTTACCTCAATACCCCTAAACAACACAATTTTAAGATTAAAACGCGGTTATATCGGATAAAACCGATTTGCATGGATGTAAATCAGTTCATCAAACTAAAAGGTATTTTTGGAGAAAATTTGATTAAATCTGGGACTTTCGTCCCCCTCGGTTTTGGCACGGTCGTTTCCGCAAGAGAAGAAGAACACGTCACAGACAAAAAGAAGCGAGTTGTCTCCTCTTCCTCTTAGGTGCAAAGCAAAACAGGAACTCACAATCTCACGAACACTGCAGTATGTAAAAGCATAAGATTTTGACAGTTCTTCATATTCAGATGCATGTTTTACAATACATAAGCAAAATTACATTGAATTTATTGGCGAATCAAAGTTAGCCCCCGTGGCGAATAGAAGAACTATAAAAGTGATTAGTTTCAAAACAAAAATTCACGAGTGCAATCTTAAAATGCATTAAGTTTTCCAACAAATTATTTAAAAAAATCTGGTTATTGCCACATTAGCCTAGTATTAACCAGTTTAAAACCGATGACACAATGCTGCGAAGGAAACGTTCCTGCTTACCGTCGCTTTGTTGCTGCCACCGGAGAATTTAAGCCATCGTTTGTTGGTGTTGCGCTTGCTGCTGCTGCATCAGCTGCATAATTTGAATGAGCAGAGCTCGGTGCTAACTTGGTCTTGTGCTTCGTGAGAAGGCTGTCCGGGGAGGAAACTGGAACGTAAAGCAACCTCCAAGAGCGTAGGCTTGGACTTGGCTGGATCAAGGCAATATTAATGACACTATGTTGCTGGTGACGTTTCATTTGTAGTTCAATAATGTAGATGTAGATATTCTACCGTGAGTGTACGAAGATTGGAATGCGAAGGAAACAAGTTTTATCTCAGAATGCTTTAATCTTCCACAGATGGCGACCGGAGTCTGCATAACCTGCATCAAGTCCATCGGATCGGATGAACCATCGCTCACGATTAGCGCCAGCCAAGATGTGCAGAATGCCCTGAGCAAACATTTTTGGTTCGGTGTAAGTAGTGAAACATTGCTTTGTTCCATTCCTTAAGATTAAAATATACGACAATTTTCTCCCAGGAAGATCAATGCCTCAGAAGTTTTATTTGTCAGCAATGTTGGCATAAAATTGACGAGTTCAACCGATTCTACTGTGAGGTCGAACAGCTACACGCCCAACAGACGTACCCTCCGATACATCTGCTGGAGATAAAGCAGGAAGTAAGCCTACATCAGTTCATTCCGGAGCTGGAGGAACCCGATCAACTGGATACCGGTGAAATCAAAGGTGAAGCCGTGAATGAGAAAATACCCGACGATCAGAGTGACGAAAACGACGATGATGGCGAAGGGGACTCCGCCAAAAACATCTCTTCAGATGACGATGATCATGATTCTGATTTCAAAACTAAACATCAGAAGTTGGAAAAAGTCGACGTGGACCAGATTCAACAGTTCATAACGGCAAATATCAAACTGGAATGTACCGTTTGTTCGGAGAAGAGCGGAACGTTCGAAGATCTTCAAAGGCATTCCATGATGCAACACGAAACGCGGGCTCGTGTGTTTTGTTGTGAGCAAAAGTTCATCAACGGCTACCGACTGAATGGACATGTTCAGTTTCATCTGAATCCAGATTCCTTCAAATGTTCACACTGTTCAAAACAGTGTCCCAACAAAGAAGCATTGAGAAGGCACAAACAAAAGGTCCACACACCGGAGGAAGAGAAGAAGTATCATTGTAAGGTTTGCCCGAGAAAGTTTACGGCTCGGAATGCACTGTCACTACACGTAAAGAATCACGCAGAAACGGATCCAAACGACGACGGTCAACCAAGAAAGAGTCACCGTGCGAACCGAACCAAACGGGTTATGGATAATGAGAAGATGATTGCCGAAAATGTTAGCCTGGAATGCGATTCGTGTCAGAAGAAGTTCGATACGTTCGTAATCCTGCAAAAGCACTCGATGGCAGAGCATAAGAAGCTCTCGTACGTATTATGCTGCGGTAAGAAGTTCAACATGAAGCCACGTCTCGTCGACCATGTGCGTTTCCATCTGGATCCGACCACGTTTCAGTGTAAGGTCTGTTTCAAGAATCTCCCGCACACTGAATCGTTGAAGAGACACATGGACCGGAACCACACGTCGGCGGAGGCAAAAACGCTCAAATGCAGCATGTGTCCGAAGATGTTTTCGCACAAGCAATTACTAAACACTCACGAACGGTATCACAACCGAAGCTGGCACTGCGAGATCTGCGACAGGCGGTTCATATGTGAGGCTGTATTGAAGCAACATCATCGCTCGGTTCACACCAAGGAGCTAAACTACGTGTGCCACATATGTGCCAAGACGTTCCACGTCTACTCGTCCTATCGATCCCATCTGCAATCGCATGACGAGCGGGTGAAACCACAAAGGCGCCCGGTACAATGCCCAGTATGTGGGGCCATGACACCCGAGCTGTCCCACCACATGCGTTTGCATTCCGGGACGAAAACGTGCGAACTCTGCGCTAAGGTGTGCAAGAACGTGATGGCCTATCAGTACCACATGCGGCAGCACGAGACCGGGGATTTCGTTTGCTCGGTTTGCGGAAAAGGATTCAAAAGGGATATCACGTTGAAGGTAGGTTGAATGATTTCGTTTGTTTTAGCCTTAAGCATCCGGTTCGCTGCGGATCATTTCAGGAACACATGGCATCGCATACGGGCGAGGTACTGTATAGTTGCGACTTCTGTGAGCGGACTTTCAACTCGAATGCCAACCGGGCGGCCCATCGGAAGAAGATGCATCCCCAACAGTGGCTCGAGGACAAGCTGAAGAAGAAAGCCGCTAGGCAGCAAGCTCCGGTGGGTGTGACGGGACAGGCGGAGTGAGGATATGGATGCAGGTGAGTCGGGGAAGCATATAAGGCTCGGAATGAGGTGTGGATAAATTTCTGTCACATTACACTTGGAAAAGCATTATTTGTAGGGTCGATGTTTTGAAGAATCCGCTAGTATTGAAATTGGCCTTTTAACGCCCTCTTCCTAAGTTGGTCGATGGGGTCGTTGGTGTAGGATTATGGGTATTTCCGGTGATTTAGGATAAGGATTCAAGGACACAGTTAGATCTTCAACTCACATTTATGCAACACGGCCAATGAATCAACCCAAATTTGTGTTCAGTTTACTCATAATCGCAAAAAGTGCAAGAATTCAGCGATGAGTAAATTTGCCTACTCCTGTGGAAATCTTTAAAAATCAGCAAGAAAATGAGGAAAATTGACGAAAATTTTACTCAGTTAAGTCCATGTAAACAGTTGCCACTGAACTGTCATCCGATTGAGGTTAACCCGACGGTGCTAAACCTTATGAGGCTATTCAAATATTGAAGGAACTACGTGGACAGGACGGGGCAATAATGAACAGGCCGAGACTTAACGAACAAAAGAATGTTTTATTAAAGCAAACTTGAATTGCTCACATCGAGCTCTTGAATTGGAATGAAAGAGAAAAATAACAGGAGTGACCAGGTCAGGTAAACCAACGACTACTTTGATTTCACCACCTCTCGCTTGGATAGTCCCAGCATCGTCCGAAGTTCCTCAAATCGTCGACGATTTAGTGAAGAAATCAGCCAACTGGTTGTTGCTGGCAATCGGCTCCACCAATAGCTTACCAGCAGCGACATGATCACGAAGAAAATGGTGTTTAATGTCGATGTGTTCGGCTCTCTTACTCTCCAAGTTCTTGGTCATACTAATGCACCCACGGATGTCCTCGTATATGGTGATTGGTTCAATGTTCAGCTCACCGAGATCGCCTAGAACACCGACTAGCCATATTGCTTTCGATGCTGCAGCACTCAACGCTACATATTCAGCTTCGCTTGAAGAAGTTGCAACTGTTGTTTGCTTCTTGCTTGACCATGCAACAGTACATCCGAAAACACGGAAAACAAATCCGCTTACTGATTTCCGGTCGTCAGTATCGGTGGCCCAGTCTGAATCGCCGCTTGATTGTCTCGAGTAAACGTCAAGGAACACTCCATAGATCCTTTTAAGTATCGTACAACCCGTTTCAGAGCTGTCCAATGCGAGGTCCAATATTGTTATCCAGGTTGGAGTTGGAATCTCCACAGATATCCGATAGGAAAGCAAATGTCCGGTCTTGTGGACATCATCACGTACATCAGGCTTCCCAATAATTCACGGTACGGTTCTTGAACACTTTTGGCCACTTAACGATCCAATTTCAATCGCACTCCACCCTGCCGAACTTCTGCAAGATCTTTTCCAGGCTGTTTTCTTGAGACAGCATCATTCTACCATTTTGTTGATCGTACCTTCATCCCAAGAAAGTGAGTCAACTCTCCACAATCGGTCATTTCAAACATCGCCGACAGTTCGCGTTTCAGTTTCATTATGGTGGTCAGCTGCATACCTGCTATCAGGAGATCATCGACATACAGCAGGATGAAAACAACGTCTTTCCCCCTCTTGTCGATACGGGTGTATAGGCAATAGTCGTGCTTGGAACGTGTGAAACCTAGCTTCAGCAGCACTTGATTGAATTTTTCGTTCCAACAACGAGGAGACTGCTTCAGACCATACAACGATTTCTGTAGCTGGCACACCAGCCCAGGGTCTGCCTTGATGCCATCAGCCGGATCATGCCGGAACAGCCATGAAGATTCTTCTTGAAGGAACGCCGTCTTGACGTCCACCTGATGGAACTGGAATCCCCTTTGTACGCCTACGGCCAGCACAATTCGAATCGTCGTCAACTTCGCAACGGGCGCATTACATATGTTTCATTGTAGTCCAGGCCAGCCTTCTGCAAGAAACCTTTGACTACCAGTCTTGCCTTGCATCGCACATGGTTTCCTTCTTCATCCTCCTTCACGCGAAAGACCCACTTGGACTGCAAGAGCTTGACACCGGCAGCACTGTCGTCCACACCTTATTCTCCTCAGGAGATTTTAAATTCTCTCTAACTGCGGTCATCCAGAGCTGTCGATCTTCGATTTCGGCGTACGATTCCGGAGGATCTGGGAGAGTTGAAATTTTACCAGCAGATCTTGCTCTAAACCCAGTAAAGAAGTCAAGTAACTTACCTGGGAGCCTGCGCTCCCGTTCACTGCGGCTAGTGTCAGACTCTGAATACTCATCACCTCTATGTTGTGAAGGGAGTGCCCCAGGGTTTTCGGATGGAGCTGCTTCGGTTGGTTCTTCATCCAGATCAACGGTGCTTTGCGTATCCGGATCGACTTCATCTTCGGTTTCGCTTTCGATAACAGCTACTGCTTCTTGTTCGGCCGACGAATTGTCCCCCTCTGGCGGATACAGCATGGGAATCACTAAGGGAACCTTCGAGCCTTCATCTTCTTCATGTGCGTATGGTAAAGAAGCTTCATCGAACTTGATGTCACGAGAGATCTTGCTTTTCTGTCCCATAAGCGGTAGCCATTTGGTGCATAGCCAATCATGACCGCCTCCCGACTCTTGTCGTCCAACTTCTTCCTCAGCTAGCTTGGAACCCACAAAAATGCTTTACATCCAAAGATACGCAGTTTGGAGAGATCAGGTTTCGCACCTGTCCAGTGCTCAGCAGGTGTACGATTATCCGATAGAGCAGCAGTAGGACACCGGTTCAACAAATACGTTCCAGTGCTGTTTCTGACCACATGAACTTTGGCATATTTGAGTCGATAAGCATAGTTCTCACCTGTTTTTTTTTTACTAGGATTCGGTTGAACCAACAATCAATACGAAACTAACGATTTTAAATTGGCTCACTACTTGACTAGCCTATTGGTCCCAAGCAAATCGATTAACGTACCCCATTCTAGTCAAAATTCTAGTACTACACAATGTTTTGATTCGCTATGAAAGTTTGACAGATTAAATGAGGGGTTAGTGGATTTTCCTATGTTTCGAGGGATTCATCGATTAGTTTGGGACCGAAGATAGTACCAGAGCTGAACCAAAAAGTTGAGCCCGTTTCTTCGGGACCTTCTGGTCTTAGAGTTGCCTCTATGGTTGAGCCGTTCAGCCACGCCGTTTTGTTGAGGCGAGTATGCAACGGTTGACTGAATTTGAACGAAATATCTCGATCCATCCCAAGCCGGCGGATCGATTGGTCCGCACACATCCGAATGTATCCGCTCTAGCAATCGACTGGCTCGCTCACGAGCTCCGTTGAAGGGTTCTCTGCACTGCTTTCCAAGCACACATGTTTCACAGAATCCAATTGAATCAACTTTTGGGCCAAGACCTTCCAGCATATTGTGTCGAACTAACGTATTCATCGTGGTCTGACTGGCGTGACCCAAACGACGATGCCAGAGATTGCTGACTGTAGGTCCTACCACGTCCAGATCGAGGGGGGCGACACATCGAAAATGTCGTTTAGCTTCAACTCTATTTACATATGATTTTCTTGTTCAGTGTAGATTTGCAGGATTCCGTTTCCTACCGTTTCCTACTATTCGCTGGCATCTACTTTTTCGATGTTGCAGTCGTTGCAGTAGATAGAAGTCGATGGCGATAGGTACAGAAGGATTTTTCATGAAAAGTAGGTGTGTGTGTGTGTATGTGTGTGTGTGTGTGTGTGTGTGTGTGTGTGTGTGTGTGTGTGTGTGTGTGAATATTCATTTGCTGCTAAGTAGCCACGAGCCTGCACGCACATAAGGCGAGCCTAAAAAAATGTGAATGAAGTAAACCTCGTTGTGAACCAGCTATATTTAAATTGAATCAAATGTTGAAGTTTATTTATAGTGATAAGTGAGAACATAAGTTACACTGCTATGAAAATGGTGAGTATTTTAGTATCAATTACCTACTCAACTACCAATTTTAAGCCACAATTATCATCGGCAACTGATGTTCAAAAGGAGGAGTTCTGGAATGCTGTTGCCAAGGACGTGGGGCAGATTCCACCTGTTGTACGAAATTCAGTTGAGTACACAGGATACGTGAACGCTGCACTAGGCGAAGTAAATGATTTGGAAATCAAAGCGATTGAAGAAGATATGAAAAGAGTCACAAAAACCCAATCTACTTCCAACGCAAAGCTTAAGGATTGCTTCGAAAAATTTGATAATAAACCAGAGGACTTCCGCTTTCTTGCTGGAGAGAAGGCGATAATAAAGATGTTAGCTGCCACAATAAAAAAACGCGGCTTTAACCACTATATGAGACGACAGAAAAGTTTCCAAGAGGCTCAACGTAGCACCGAATTGAACGTTGATTGCGAAACCGTAATTCGACAAAGGGTGTTGGAGTTCTACCAAAAAAGGTAATAGTAATCTTAATTTAATCTTTTAATGTTGTCGAACCTAAAAAAGGAATCCCTTTATGAAGAGCTTTTGAGTGTGTTGATTATTTCCTTTTAATTCCGTTATAATTGCTTATCTTTTAACAGATACGAGTATTTCGTCTACTACTTGCAGACTTCATCAGTGCCAAGTAGTGATGTTGAGTACTTGGCACTGATAAAGTCTGTAAGTAGTAGACGAAATACGCGTATATGTCAAAAGATAAGCAATTATAACGGAATTAAAAGGAAATAAACAACACACTCAAAAGCTATTCAATCTTAATTTGTTTTAATAATCAATCAAATTTAAAACAAAAATAAAAAAAAAAATGCATTTCTTAGGTACGATGGGACCGAGGTTGGGAATAACAGGAGAACAGGATTTTTTGCTGTCTTTAAATATGTTGGAAGTCATACCCCCTCAGGAAGGTTGTGAAAGAGTTGCCAAAATTGTATGTCCTTTATGCCCTACAAAAAACTGCATAGCAAGCCGTCCTGAAAAATCCGGTTTGTGGAAAGTGTCAAACTTTGTGGCGCATATAAAAAACGTCCACAAATGTGAATTTCAAGGAAAAAAGTCCAGCAATACACACAAACGGGCCATCCTCGATACTGATTCAGAAGAACATCCTGCAGAGGGCGTAGAGGCACACGATCAAAGCTGCAATTCGAAAATTCCCAAAGTAGCGAAATTTGAAAACGCATGCCTAGGATGGGAGGCAACTGAAGATCCATTGATCGAAATCCTTGAAAATATTCCTGATTATATCAACATTTCTGAACTTGAGGAAATGCTGACGATTGAGCAAGAAAGATTCGAAATATCGGACGTTGAAGGAGAAAATCTTGTTGGTTGTGACGGGGGCAACGAGGATTTGGACTGTGATGAAAGCGAAGCTTTAAACTTGTAACGTGCTACGACATGGCCGGTAGTAGCACAAGTTCAATGGCCAAGACATCTTCCCTCGATACCAGCCTACGGATTCAAACAGACGTTTACAACAGACATTTAGAAACAGAGTCCAAGGGAGTTCGATACTCTACCTTAGAGAAAGACTTTTTTACATACCGGTAAAGGGACTACTGCTCGCTTAAAATAGTCTTTTTGATTAATTTGTTTTATTCTTTTCAGTTTCATCCAGGGAGGAAAGGAATTATATAAATTCGAAAGAGCTAACACACCTTCTCCACACATTAGAACGATTCAGCGCCATCTACAAACACATGCAGCTCAACTTGTAGAAGGAGAGCTTATGGTGAAGCAACTGAAAGATTATTTAGAATATAACGGCTACCCATTAAGTGTCTGCTGGAGTGAGGACGCGACTAGAATTACTGGTGGAGTCGAATATAGGTCTACTACAGACCAGCTCAGTGGCCTTGTTGCTCCACTAAACGAAACCAGTGGCCTACCAATCACAGGAATCTTCGATTGTGAATCGCCTCAACGGGTAATTGAAAACATAAAAAAGTATCCAGTGGGTAGAAACGTTCAACTTGCTATGGCGCAGCCTATTGCATTGAACGCAGCACCATTCTGTGTACTCTATTACTGCACTGATAATAAGTTTGATACTACATCGGTGCAGAAAAAATGGTATCATGTAACAGAGGAATTCAAAAAGGTCGGAATTTCGATCGCATGCAAGGCTACTGATGGGGACAGCCGATTCATTGGGGCTATGGTAAAGGAAATGGGTTTAGATAATCCAGGCACCAACCAACCAAACGAATTTGGCAACTGGTTCATATCGCTAGAAAGCATAGTCTATGTCCAAGACCCAACTCATCTGGCTAATAAATTGCGGACAAGACTGATGAAAACCAGCAAACCACTCATATTAGGTAAGTAATTCAGTTTAATTATTAGTTTTATATACATTACCTATTATACAATATTGGGAATAAACGAACTGTGAAATTTTGTAGGGAATTTCAATGTATCTTGCATACATTTGATGGAGTTAGTGTCTACTGTGTCTAAGGATCAGCATGGTTTATCTTTAAGTGACATTAACGATACCGATAAAATGAAATTTCGGCCTGTAGAGAAGATGACGGAAGACCGAGTAATCTCGTGTCTTCAACAAGTTCCAGGCAGTGAAGCAACGGCAATATTCTTACAGGCAATACGAAAAGCCATGTCATCGTACATGGACTCAACACAAACACCATTGCAGAAAGTGCATGATATTTGGTGAGTTTCAACAGCCTTTCTTAAATCTAGATGAACACTTCAAAACGTCTTATCTACTTTGATCGATTTCCATGAACACCACCACATATGGCTGGACCCCAGTGGTGTGGCGGTGATGTGGCATCATACAACATGTCAAAATATCGATGCCACACCACATCAGTGGGCGCCCAGGCTCAGGCAATGATTTTGCAGATGTGTTGTTAACCCTTTCCTTCCCACAACTTTTCAATCCATCTCGTGTTTGTCAATCCAAGCTGAACATTGCATTAGGTTCTAAGTAATATTGATCGATTCTCTTCGTCGACTTTCTCTTTCGTTAATAACATGACCTCATAACCGTTTCGCAAGGAATAATAATAAACGCGTCTACCCTGGCCGCGGCCTTAGATGCTAGATAACAGCTTCTACCTGGGAATGTTTTTACATGGCCGTGGACAAAGAGAAAGTTAACGAAGAGAATCTGCCAATATTACTTAGGACCTAAACATTGCAGTTGGATTTTCTATTAAAAAAGTCAATGCTTATTTAAGTTCCTCCGTGTATATCTTATAGATAATTCAACTGAGCCACTACTGAAAAACAATTATGGAACTGTATGGAAAATCTTCTAGCACCTTTTTTTTGAATAAAAAACATCCTGAGTCCAGAATCATAAGGGCCTAACTGCGATGATCGATTCTCTTCATCGATTTTCTCTATGTATTACTATAAAATTAAGTGAAGCAAGTCAAGCTGAACATTGCATTAGGTCCTAAGTAACATTGATCGATTCTCTTCATCGACTTTCTCTTTCGTTTATAACTTGAGCACACAACCGTTTCTTGATCTGGTTGATGTATTAGATGTTACATAAAAGCTTCTTTTATCGATCTCCGAGCTGAAAATAAGTGGGAATGTCTTTACATGGTCGTGGGGATGCAAAGAGAAAGTCGACGAAGAAAATCTGTCAATGTTACTTAGGACCTAATGCAATGTTCAGCTTGAAGTGTACGAAATTTTCCCAATACAACACTGTAAAAAGCTGCATTAGCTAGCATCCAACTCATCGAGGAATTTTATTCCAACCAGGCCCTTATGATTCTGAACGCTAGAATTTAAAGTTACTTACCAGAGTAAAGCCGGGTGGCTAGCTTTGCTGTAAACATAAGTCGTCATGCACGTTGCTTTTTAAATGTACATGTTTCGACAGTCTTCTCGTCAACACCTCCATCCGAAATGCAAAACAAAAATCTTTTTGTTGAAAGAATCAGGTTAAATATTAGGTATTCCTGCTTATCACTCAAAAATATTTTTCACAATAAAATTATTCTTCTAGCATTCGTAATCATAAGGGCCCAACTGCGATGATCGATTCATACATCTTGTTGTCGTTCATGAAAGTTTTTACCAAGGTTGTTAAAAAAACTTAGATCTATAGTGATTCGCTGACGTTTATCGTACGCACACTACGTCACGTATTCGTATACGCAAAATGTTTTCATCGGAAAAAAAACTTCATAGCGGAAAATTTTCCCGATGAAAACAAATCACTGACACAATCATACTTTAGCAATCTCTATAAAATTGTGTGCACGGTCGATCTGATCAACTCAAAATTGTATAAGATTTCATCAAAATCGATCTCAAAATTAAGTAAACATTTTCGAGCAATGGATCATTGAAGATGCTGAAGTTTTGACAGCACCGTACTGTGGCTACCACAGTATTTTACATTGGATCGTCCGTATACAGTAGCGCCAAATGCAAGCTGTGGTGGGTTCAAAACTCGGCCATCTAAAATGATCCATTTAATAAATTTACATGAAGTAAAATTTAACCAAAAATAGTGGAAATTGAGGAAACTTTACCCAATAGTGAGTACAAATTAAAAACAATTGACATTATTTCTCGTTTTATTTTTATTTCAATTTTTGTAATCAGATCTGACCTAAGAGGGATCTGATACAATAGAGTATACTTCATGCAATTACATACATTTCGTCAATAATTTTGATTTTGTCTTAATATAGTCGCTTCAACATGCTTGGGTTGACTTATCATGGCATGAATTTTAAGCAAAATTTTAGAGCCGTTTCCCACCATGAAAGTTATTATCAAGCCTTATAGTATTTGTTTAATATATGTCTATTAATTTTATTTACAGGCACACGTTATTTCTGATTAGGAGCTGGCGCAATTGGTGTATTAAAAAATATCATAACATTCAGCACTGCGTAACGACGAATGCATATTGGGGACTGGAAATTAATGCTCATGCATTAATTAACTATATTGTCCATTGTCGGAACAGCAACAATGAATTCCATACCACGCTGCTTCAAAGCCAAACATGCGAAGGGACGTTTAGAGATGCTCGAGCTTTCACGTCAACTGAATCCACGGTTGTAAATTTCACTATTCAGGGGTTCGAGTCACGACTCAACAAAATTCAATTCAAAAAAGACATCATGCATCGAAACGAACATACTTTAAATTTTCCAAGTATGAAGAGACAACCTTGTGAAGCAGATGTACTTTTTGAGATGCCAACAAATATGGATATTAAAGATGCAGTTGAATATGCACAGCAGTCAGTTCGAGAAATTTTGCTAGAACTGGGCGTGGATGCGGAAGATATTTCGTTTGAAAGCAGTATAACTACCCACAAACCAACATTAAAGTTGACAAGTGACTGCGGTGATTTTGAATTCATTTCAATACCAGAAGAATTTGAACCTTGCGTGCCAAAAAATAATGAGGATGTACATGATGCAGTGGAACTATTCGATAATATCGGTGAAGAGCTCATGCTACCTGATTCCAGAAACTATAAAAATGTATTCAAGATAAGAAACCAACGCAACAAAATCGTGCATGTTAAAAAACGAACATTTTTGTGGATGCTTACGTTAGGATTGCAGAAATGCTCGGTAGATCGTACGTATCGGTTCTTTGATAAGCAAGCCAAGAAAAATAAACCACGCTATGCTAATGAAACCTTTAAGGATATCGTTACTGGAGAATATTTGCTGATGAAGGAAAAAGAGCAACTAAGCGTTTTCAAAGTGTACGGATTCAAATATTTAAAAGGAAAAAAACAATCATACACTCTATCAACTGTTCCTACAAAAGCTCCTGAAAATGTAGCGCCCAGAGGAATAGGACTACTGGGTAGCAAATTCAAAATAATTGAATGCGATGGAGACTACGTTTTAGAATTTACAAGCAACAATGTTGTTATAGATGTGAAACACTATGTATCTCATTTGCTGAAGCCGTCTGCCCTATCCGCATTATTCTATTACCCAGGAGAGTGCGTGACATACATAAATAGCTTCAAGTTAAATCTAAGTTAATTTAAAACCCTGTACTGTAGTTGTAGTATCACCCGTGAAGTTATACTCCCCGAAATCATCATAATACATATTCATAATTACTCGTATTAAAACTCTGAAACAATTTTTTGTAACTAATTTTATTATTTTATTGTTGAACCATTTTCCGAATTCATATGGATAAATAAAGACAGATACTACAGTAGATGGAATAATTTGGGATTAATAAGTTTTTTTAATTCTGTTTGTCATCGTCTCTTCAATGTAGAGTTGACTGTGATGTGACAAATATTATAACATCTACTCACATATGCTTCAAATCAGTGAGCTTGCAGCTCTGAGGTGCCGCGGTCTAGAACAGTTTGTTTCTCGGAAATTGAGAGGATTATAATATATACTGTAATAAAATAATTATTGGTATATTTCATAACGCCAATACTCAGAAATAATTAATTTTATGAGCAGCATACAAAATTTTATATAGTAGGGGAAATGAATCTAATGTCGGCCTAAATGCCCCTAATTTGGGCCCATAAATAAATTCATCAATTGACTAAATTTTCAATAGCGACCAAAAATTTCCATTAGTACCGTCCCAATGACGCGTTCATCTAGTTAAAATTGATAAATAGCAGATTTTTAAGGATGGAACCAATCTTAGATCCATGGGCCAACATTAGAGCCATTTCCTCTATATGTTTAAAAAATGAAATGGTTTAAACTTTCGGGAGATTTCACTCCATAAAATGGAATCCTATAGAACTGTGATCTAGAACTTTAATTTCAATAGAAACCCTGAGAAAACAAAACTTTTAAACGGTCATACCTAATTATTCAATTCTTTCAATTTAAATTAAATTTAGGTAGCCATACATAATGCAGCCGAATCCTAAGTAGGGGAAAAGTTGGCTTCGGCAATACCTTAACCTATTATCGTCAGGGGGGTAAACAACGTCCTTGATAGTTACATCTTGGCATGTAGATACATTGTGTTTCAGAGCAACTATTGGCCAAATTTGAGTGCTCTAGGACTTTGTTTACCCCCCTGACGATAATAAGTTATGGTATTGCCGAAGCCAACTTTTCCCCTATGTAGTTTTTAACGCTTGTTTTGCAGAATAGCTTTGCGGGGTGGGATGTACCATATAGAGATACAGGTGTTGTTAATCAGGCATCATCTGCTGGTTGGTGATCCAGTACAGTAATAGACCTAAGTGGATGGGAAGAATTGTCTATTAAAACTTGTGCTTTTCCATGAATTGAGCATTTTACGAGACATTTATGGTTAAATTTATGAATGAACGCATAATAACGTCATGTGCAAAAACAGCGTTCTAAAAATGTTTAAATTTACGTCTCATTGTAGAACCCTAAACTGGCAGAGGTTTTCATTGGCCGGTACTCGGTACACTAAGGATTCACGTTTTGCTACGAAGTGGACACTAGCTTCCACAAAGCAATTTCGTAGCGCTGAATTCATTCGCTCTTAAAAGTAAAGATTCTTAAAATCTGCAATACTAGAGCTTCCAGAACATCGATTGGCGGCACCATCTCTATTTCCGAACGGTCCGCTTTAAACTCACAAATCTTAACTCTGGTGTTACGACGTGTAACAACTATCACTTGACCACAGTCCCACCGAAATGTAAATAAACACCTCCGGCTTGCTGCGTCGTCTGCTATAGACCTTTTTGACGTTTAATCGTCTTTCTCTATCTAGCACACAGGGATGACTGGATCGTTTGTTTTCCCACTAATCTGTTTCCTTCTTGCTCGCACTGCTTCCATTTAAATGGAGCATTAGTGTGCGCCGGTTAAACGTCAAAAAGCTCTACACAGAAAAACAAAACTACCCACCGCTTGGGTTTTTTAAACTCAAATTTGAGTTATTTGACCTCTGTCCGTTTCATTTCCTCTCGCTATTGTTGTCAAAAATAGAACGAAAGATTCGACTCAACCGTCTAGTTCCGTACAAGAAGCCAAAATTGAGTAATATGCGATATACCCAAATTTGAGTTAATTGAACTTAATTTTGGGTAGAAAAAATTGAAAATTACTTAGCGATGGGTAATTTTTTTTGCCGTGCTTAAATGCAAACTACTTTGAGCCGGTTTACCCAAATTTGGCTTATTGTACGGAACATGGGAGATGAGTGAAAAGAACTTAATTTTGGGTTGTTTTGAATTTCTGTGTAGGTTGTTTGTTCGGTGATAGCTCGATCACGAGAAGATTCGAGCATGCGCAAGTAGATGGTAGTAGATGCCACAGATGCAAACAGATGATATACGGTAAATAAATATAAAAAAATAGGGCAGATTCACGCTGAAAATGAGATAATCTGGATGTGTCGCCCCCCTCGGTCCAGATCTAAGTCCAACTCGTAGAGATTTCCTCGCAACTGTGCCACACCGATCACCGCATCACCTTGCTTCATCAGCGCCTGGCTTGTGAACAATACGTCAATCCCGGCTTGGGACATCTTCTTGACAGAAAGCAGGTTGCCTCGCAGCTCTGGTACAAAAATTACATTTTTCATCTGGAACCTTCTTTGGAAATCCCCTTGACTTCGCCTTCATATTTCCCAACAATCGACACACCATCTTTGGTCACATCAATAACGAAAGGTTGTTTGAGCTTCCGGACCGACTGCATGCAATCTAAACTGTTAACCAAATGGTCGCTACATCCGGAGTCCACGTAGAAGATGGTTCGCTTGTTCTGCACCTTGGGTTGCTTCTGGTTCACCATGAACGAAACTGCATTGCTTCCAAACCGCTGCGTTGACGTTACCATCGGTCTTCTTGACACAACAATCTTCCATCATGTGGCCAGTTTTGCCACATCGATGACACTTTCCGTTGAACTTTCGTGGCTTCTTATTTCTGCCTCCAACAAACGCTGCTGCCTTGTCTTCATCCTATCAGACCGCATGGATTCTTCAGCCAGTAATCGCTGTTTCGCAGTCTCCAATGTGAGGTCGTTCTCGTTGATATTCTCTAGAGCCGTTACAAGGGAGCCGTAGCCATCGGGAAGGGTGAGAAATAATTGCGATACCATGTCGTTCTCTTCGAGCTTCGCGCCTGCCGATTTGAGTTGGCGTATGATATCGTCGAACTGTTGAAAATGCTGCCGCCTCAAAGTTCCTTACTACAGACTTCTTCGCATATGTATCTTCCAGTGCCTTCCACATTTCTTGGGCAGTCTCCTTGTCCCGCACTATGCCTAGACATTCATCAGAAAGGAATCCAACTAGCAAGGACTTCGCTTTCCGATCTGTCTGCAAAAACTTCGCCTTTCCCTGGTCCGATTAACCGGGAACTGGCTTGGTTAATACGTCAGAAACTTCTGCCGAAAAGCAAACTTGAATTGCTCCCATCGAACTCTTGAATTGGAATGACAGCGAAACATAACAGGAGTGACCAGGTCAGGTAATCCAACGACTACTTTAATTTCGAATATGACGTCCATTATTGAGGGGGAGGGGGTTCTAAAATTTGTCACAGTACGTGTGGGGGGACTAAACAAATCTAAAAACTCGTGGATGTCATATTTGTTATTTTGTTGTAGGGCCTACATGGTTTGTTTACGTTTGGAATCAATTTCATACAATAATGATCAGTAGGCTGATTTGTAGAGGTTAAGACAACATCATTTGATTTTGGACAGATTTGTAAAAATTTAGGGAACATTGTACATTTGCAAGGAATTTCATAGACCTTCAAGAAACTTGGTAGAACTTTTGGAAACTTCGAAAAAGATACTTCTGCAGGGAACTTCGTGAAAATTTAGAGACTGCGTAGAAATTCGGGGATCTTCGTAGAACTTCAGAGAAGATAGCAAACATTCGGGAAAACTTCGTAGAAGCTGGAACTTTGTTCAAGTTTGGGGAAGTTCTTGTCGGAGATGGCAACACGTCTACTGTTCTTTTCACCTTGCTACAATCATCCGTACGTTTTGCAGTGGGTGACTGCCAATCTCACCAAACTAAAACGAACGCGCACCGGAGTGGCGCGAAGCACATTTTTCTTTTCATTACCGTTCAGTACTTTGTACATTTAACACGCGAATTAAACCTTTCTTTTCTAACTACGAGTTCTTGGTGTTTTATTGTCGGTGATCCCTTTTCCGGTCTTTCTCGTGTCGTACGCTTTGCGTGGAGTGGTTCTGCCCACAGTTCTTAGAAGTTAAGGAAACTTTGTTTAATTTCAGGAAACTTCAAAAAAGCTCGGGTACCTTCTTTTTTAACTTCATGTGGTCATGGAATATGTAGGTTAGTGAATTTCGTACAAGTTCCGAAAACTTCGTACAGCTTCAAGGAACTACGCGGAAAATCATCGTTCAGGCAATTTCTTAGAAGTTTGGTAAACTCTGTTTAGCTCAGCAAATTTCAGAGGAAACTCCATAGAAGCACAGAGAGTATCGTAGAAGTTCGGCAAACTTCTCAGTACTGCAGGGATCTTTCTATCAGTATGGGGAACTTCATAGCAGTTTGTCAGAGGACTTACTTCACAATAGTTCAATAAACTTCCTGAAAGTATTTATTGCTCGTATTTATTTATTGCTTGTATTTATTAATCTTAGGGAACTGTCCGAATGTTCAAAAAATTTCATTAATGAGGTTCAGAATCATCTCAGAAGTTTGGCAGAAGTTCACAGATGTTCTGAGATCTTGGTCGAATTAACACTTATGGAAATTGGACCGAACTGCGAAGAAACTGAGTAATTTTTCTAGAAGTTAAGGGAACCTTGTAGATGTTCAGTGAGCATTGTATTGATTATAGCAAATTCGTAAAAGTTTAACAAATTGTAAGTTCGTATAAACCTATGGATAAATCGTAGGAGTTCAGGGACCTTCTTAGAAGTTCACAGCACTTTCCAGAACTTTCTTCAAATTGGCACTTCGGATAAGCTAAGTAGATTGCAAAGAAGTTCAGGGAGCTTATTTTGAGTTCATGAAAATCGTCGAATTTTAGAGTATTTTGTTGGTACACACGGATTTTCGGTAAGATATTAATAAAGTCCTCGGGATATTGTGCAAGACTTTGTTAGTATTCTGAAGATATGCAATTGTTAAAAATTCAAATGAAGTCTCTCAGATATTCTCCCAAGACGGCAGGTTAATCGGGAAGTATTCGAAAGATCCTTAGCTGACCGATGATTTCTGGATTGTTCAAAGCTTAAAATTATTTACAAACTATTCTCAAGATCTCTAGCTGTTCAAAAATTTAAATAAAATGAAATTAATACATATTCTTCATAGTCGGCAGGTTGACCAGGGAGTACTGAAAAGATCTCCAGCCGATCTAAGGTTTCAGTAAAGCCCTCAACACGTCCTCATCGTGTATTATTCTGAAGATCTCCTTTTTTCAAAAATTCAAATGACGGCGCTCAGATATTCTCGCAAGATTGGTTGATTTGGAAGTATTCAAAGTTAATCTCCAGCAAGTTGAAAATGTCAGTAGGGTCCTGTCTATCAAGTCGATCAAGTATTATTCTGAGAAAAAAAAACTGTTTTTGATAACATTTTTTATTCAAAATAAAAAATTTCAAGGTTGAGTTTAAAATCAAGGGGTGGTCACTCTACACACTTATTTTGCGCCAACATTTTTCTCCGTGTGCCTTAGTGTGCCGGCAGTGCCAATAAGTCATTGAACTGACTTGTGAATAATGCCTTGTTTGGCAACCCGGTATTTTATCAGCTCTTGTTTTTGTTTTGTTTTTCAGTGTTTACAAAAATGACACGGACTCCAGTCGGGACTACACATTGGATGCAGCCGTCTCCAAGGATGCCTGCAACGGACGAGCTCCGTTGCTACACGATCCTACCATCTTCGGCGGAAGGCCGACCTCGCGCAACGAACGTCAATCATTAGTCAACCAGCCCTTCTGGGAGCCGGCGGAAGAAACGGATTTGCACCGAATTTTTCACCGCCCGAGTATCATCCGTCGGAAAACTGGAAACCAACACACGTTGGACTGATGAAGGACGCACCACTGACCCGAAACGGACCAGCCAACTTCATTCAACCGGCCCAGCAACAGGGCGCAGTGATGATGGTTTACAGACTCGATAACAACACAGCCAACACCGATAAGCTGTTCAATCTGTTCTGCCTGTACAGAAATGTTGTCAGGATAAAGTTCCTGAAGACCACCGAAGACGCCTTCGCAGTCGAACGCAGCATCCAGCACTTGAACAACAGTCCAATCGGAAATGATGCTAGCAAAATTCAGATTGCATTTTCCAAGCAGAACTACTTGTCAGAGCCCATCAACCCCTACACCCTGCCGGACAATTCGATTAGCTTCAAGGACTACAGCGCCTCCAAGAACAATCACTTCCTTTCGTTGACCCAGGCCAGCAAAAATCGAATTCTCCACTGCTTCAATACCCCACCCGTATGCCGTCCGAAGATCTGCTGCTGACTGCATTCACCACGAAGGACTACCACCCGTCGCAAGCGCGAATGTTCCCGCTGAAGTTGGAAAGTTCCTCCTCAGGATTGGTTGAGTTCCTGAAAAAATCTAGTATTTGTTTCATGGATGACACACTTTTAAAAACTATGTCGATAAGTATGCTTTTCTATAATTCATAAGCAGTTTTTTTTTCGTTCAAACCAAGGGTTTGGTCACTCTACACAGTGAACCAAAATCAAGTTTGGGCACACCCGAGCGCAGTCATTGGCGCTGGTTGGCACCAATGGTTACAATTTTTATGATATTTAAAGTTACTGGCAACAGTGAACTTTTTCTGCACCTGCATGTGTCAAAATTTGTTATTGATGTTGCCACAATACAATCCAATTTTTACAAATCACAACCGTGAATCTCCATCAAGTCCCGCCAGTGATTCTCCAAAATCGAATTGAATTCCACAAAGTACAGTCAGCGCACATCCTATTGCATGTCCGAAGAAGTACATGAAAAAATCAGGACAATCGCCTGCATAGCAACACCACTCAATCAATCTCAACATTACCGGCTCCAGCTCCGTTATTAGAGTCGTTAGTCAGGCTCACGTGACCGGAGGAAAGTACGTCCCACAAGCGGTTCTAATCAACCTTGAAACGAGAACTATGGATTCGGTCCGAGCGGGACCATTTGGGCAGCTGTTCCAACCAAATAACTTCGTTTTGGGACAGTCCGGTGCTGGTAACAACTGGGTCAAACCACACTACACCAAGGGTGCCGAACTGGTGGATTCTGTGTGATTCTGTGCTTGATGTTGTCCGTAAGGAATCCGAGGGTTGCGATTGCCTGCAGGGCTTTCAGCTTACGCACTTGCTCGGCGGTGGAACTGGCTCAGGTAAATTTTAAATCTTTTGTAACGTTGGCGCAATTCAAAAATACCTTCCTCTCCACAGCCATGGGCACGCTACTGATCTCGAAGATTCGAGAAGAATACCCGGATCGCATCGCACAGTGGTTCCTGGCCGGACAAAACCTCAAAAATGAAAGTTGATATTTCTTTTATTTCAAATTTTTTTTATCATTCTTACATGTTAAGAGTATCTTAAATAGAATGATTTGTGCAGTTTTGTTGATTACAGATCTTTTTATGGTTGTTGTAAGGTAGCGATATAAGACATTTTCGAAAAAAATCGTAACGTTTCTTGTTACTGTTTTGCTCAAATAAAGCAAAAATTAATGTGTATATCAACTTGGTTGCTTTAGAAGAAATGTTCCTCGGCTTATTTCACGTCATATGGATAGTAAAAAAATAGTGTCTGCATTCCCGCATAAACGCGAACCATAAATTGACCTTACCTAAAATGGTTAAAAATTGTTTATAATCCCTGCTAAACTTTAACTGAAATGGTTATGAAACTTTACATGAACGTTTAATGATAAAGTTTCAACCTTATGTATTATGGTTTTGTGGAACTGAACCTTACAAATAATTGGTTGTTAAGAACCATTACCGTTCCAAATTCTTGTTTTCTCCATACATTTTCGGAAAGAGAACTATATTAGAACCTTTTAACTTATGGTTTGAGAACTTTAATGGTAATGGTTATGGTAGTCAGTAAGGTCCACGAATGGTTTTGTAACATCGATCAACTTTATGTGGAATATATCGCGAATTGGTTGCCTGTAATTTACTGATTACCAATTCACGATATATTCCACGTAAAGTTGAGCGATAATACAAAACCATTAATGGACCTTACTGACTACCATAACCATTACCATTAATGTTCTCAAATCATAAGTAAAAACGTTCTTATATAGTTCTCTTTCTGAAAATGTATGGAGAAAACAAGAATTTGGAATGGTAATGGTTCTTAACAACCCATTATTTGTAAGGTACAGTTCCAAAAAACCATAATACATAAGGTTGAAACTTTATCATTAAACGTTCATGTAAAGTTTCATAACCATTTCAGTTAAAGTTTAGCAGGGATTATAAACAATTTTTAACCATTTTAGGTAAGGTCAATTTATGGTTCGCGTTTATGCGGGTTGTTTTAAGTAACAGTTTTTAATAAAAAATTGGTAAAAACATACTTTTTTCACATTTAGGCTAAGCAAAACATATGAAGGACACATCCGCCCACTATCCTTTAGTAACCAAAAGATAGCTTGAAAAGTTAGCTTTCAGATAGGCTATAATGTGTTTTGCGATTTTTTGCGAAAGATGTTGAAATTAGGATTAACAAGTAAAGTGTTCTTTGAAAAACATCCGTATCTTACACTGAGACAAATCGACATGTACCGTTTATTGGATCCATCTTATAACATAGCAATGTCAGGAGATTTATTCATTCTATGTGATGATTGATAGATTCCAATGGATTATTACTTAAAAACTATGACTGCGATATGGAATGATTTCTATCGTAATTTCACATACTTAGTACTTGATAATACTTTGCTTCGACCGTGGTTAGCGATAGGTAAGATGTATATGAATATTGTCTGATATATTTCATGGTGAAAAACTGTTGATATGTCATGGGTGGGAACAGGCATCTAGAAACTAATGGAAAATCATATAAGTTTGCACTATGAGCAAATCGAGTAAAATGTACCTGTTTTCATGATGAATATTGCTCACTAAAAGATATATCATATAAGATAATCATGTATATTTTATTGGAGTTGCTTTTAACGATTTTTGACGTTTGTTGATATGTCGCGTGTAAATAGACATGTAGAAACTATTGAACTGTCATTTAACTTTGCAGTATAGGAAAACATGTATATCTCATTGGAATAGCTTCCTTTGATTTTTGAGGTTTGAATATTGTAAAAAGATCTATCCCAATCATTAAATAGTCATATAGATTTGCCTTTTAAGAAATCCAACAGCAAACATTTGTTTTGGTATGTTTTTCTAGAAAGAACATCGCTCCCAATAAAATACATCTTACATAATTGTTCTTTATAAATTATTGAAACAATTTTCAACTATGTTATCGTACACTCATTAGAATGATTAGTCGAACTAAATATTGCTAACACCAATGATACTGTAATAAATAATCATTGTTTGTTATTATTTCATATGATAAGGGGTTCCGGAAAAGAATGTTTTGAGATTGAAAAAAAAATGATTCTACTGCAATATTTATTTGCTAAGATTCTAATTGTAAGCCTTCTACACGGCTAATTCAGATTCCAGCACTAGTACTCGAACTTCATGAACCAGTTCCATGAACTCATATAATGTAGTCGTTGTTTTATTGCACGACACCACTGAAACGGAGCATATATTGGTCAGTGCTAATTTTCTTCACTCTAGCTAAACGAGCATAACGTTGCTCTATATTCCATGTTGGGAGAGCTGTTATTACTTCATGCTAATTGAACGAGCTCAATATTGAAGTCAGCCATGGCCCAATGGAATCGAGCGCAGACACGAAAAGCATCACAGCTCAACAGTTCTGGATCGAATCCCAAATCAGCTACAATAAAAAAAACACAACTGTGAAAGCTCCCACTGCCTGGTGTTTATTTTTCGATTTATTTTTAGAAATCGATTAAATATATGTGTCAAAAGAATAAGTAAATTTCATGTGATTTTCACATAAACTTTACTTCGATTGATTTATGACACATATATTATATTGTGGTGAAAAGTAAAGCTTATGCTTATGGGTTTCAAATCCATTTCAGTTAATTATTATAATTTGACCGATTTTCATTTATCATATGGCGATCATATAAAAGTTTTCAAATTATCAGCATTGTCAATGTATCAGATATTCATATAGAATTTACCTGACACATTTTCAATCATATCATTTTCAATGGATTATCTTATAGCGCAAAATTATTAGACTTCCACATAACAGGAATATGTCAAATTGGTTCAGTGTAGTTATATAATGTGTGCTGTATACTGTAGCAAGCTTCATATTGCATTTTTCAAAGCACACACACACTCTCACTCACACATACACACACACACACACACACACACACACACACACACACACACACACACAAAGACGAACACAAATTTACTTACCCTTTGTAGAACCTTAAGAACTCATAATCAAAACTCGTTTCCTATTCGTTGGTCAATCGCCAATGTATACACCATGTAACATAAAACATGTGGTATATAACTGTGAACATGTGTGTAAGGCGTATGACGCACTCACACCACACAACAAACGTCAAATCTCATATGTACGCAAATTTTTGACGCCATCATCGCATCAGAGTTTGTTCAGTTACCACTGGTAACTTACCAGTATTCTGAAACATACTTTCATATCGCAAAATGGAAGGTAAACTCTTGTTTATAACAATTTATTTCACATATTTTGATGAACAGTCTTTTCAGTGGAGCAGCAGATCCAGAGAAGGCTGATTTACGAAAAAAATCGTAACGTAGGTTGCCAAGCAGAAAGAAAGAAGGTAATTTTAGAAACATTCTTTCATGGTCGTGAAAATGACCACGTGTTCGAAACTTTTTGGAAGAGCTTCACAAAAAAGTTCGTAAAAGCATCACGAAAACCAATGTACTTTGAAAAGAAATACAAGGGTTGGCTAGACGGAGAAATAGCTGTATTGATCTTATCACCGAATTCAAATCAAAATCAGGGAGGGCGACCAGAAGTGCAGTTCGCAGAGAGCAGCGATCGGTCAAAGCGCAGAAAGACACAAGAAATTCGATCCATTTACTCCCCGGAAGCGCTAGCGTTGAAGAGATGAACTAGCCTTAGGCTAAAAATCTCTCTAATAAAGGAAAAAAAAAAACGCTAGCGTTTGCTGCTGAAGTGAGTTTCCGGACTACAGGAAATCTAGCAGCCGCGAAATCAATAAAGCATTGTTCTGATTCACAACTGATTTCTCCGGAAAAGGCAATCGCAGTGATAGTGCAAGCTAATTTAAGCAAGAATGCCTATCAAGTTGTCAGGGAACCAGTTAAAGATCGGTACCCAGCATACAATACAGTTTTAAAAGCCAAAAAAGAATGTTATCCGGATGAAGAAGCATTTACAGTGACAGAATGTGGCGTTAACATTCAGCTACAGGCGATTCTCAATAAGACATCCGAAAGACTAATCAAAAGCCTAGAAGTAGTTCTGATATTTCAATCTGAAGATCTATTGGAGAAACTGCATCTTAATATTAAATGGGGATGTGATGGAGCTTCAGATCTTGCGGAATATAAACAGAAGTTTGCGAATTCTGATAATAAGGATTCCCACATTTTTTTCACTTCGTTTGTACCTCTACGTCTAGCTGTGGAACAAGGTGGTACGGAAATATTATGGGACAATGAACATCCTAGTTCTCAATATTCTTGTCGGCCAATCAATCTTCAATTTCTCCCAGAAACTGAAGAAATTATTTTGAAGGAATGTGGAAGAATGAAAAAGGAAATCGATGGATTAAGACCATTCGAAACAGTTTTAAATGACAAAGTAATTGTGAACTATTCACTTTACCTTACTATGGTTGATGGAAAACTCATCAATACACTAACAGCAACAGCATCAGCGCAAAGATGCTATGTATGTCAGTCGACTGCTTCACAATTCAACAATTTGAACAAAATGAAAACGGCTAAAATTATGGATGGTGTGCTGGATTTCGGGATGTCTTCACTTCACGCTTGGATAAGAAGCTTTGAATACTACATCCACATAGGGTACCGGTTGGATTTCAAGAAGTGGCGAAAAACTGGGAATGAAGAAGCTTTCAAAATCGCAAAAGATAGAATCCAAAAGGGATTTAAATCAAGGATGGGGCTAAACGTTGATAAGCCAAAGCCGAGTGGAGCCGGAAACAGTAACGACGGCAACACGGCAAGGCGATTCTTTGCGGATCCTGTAAAGTTCTGAAATTTGCGGAGTAGACGTAGAGTTGATCACGATGACGAGAAACATTCTCATTGCTGTATCATGTGGTAGTGAAATCGATAGTAGTAAATTCGAAAGCTATTGCTGGAAAACTGAAGAACTCTACGTTAGATTATATCCATGGTATTGTATGCCAACTTCGCTGCATAAGTTACTTATACATGGACATGACATAATTCGCAGGTAAATTATAAATAAATTGAATTTAAAATAATATTAAAAATGTTTATTGATTAACAGATCAGGTCTACCTGTAGGCCGAATGTCGGAGGAGGCCCAAGAAAGGAGCAATAAAACTATTAAGGTCAGCCGAGATCAGTTTGCGAGAAAGAACTGCAGAGAAAATACTAACCGGGACATAATAAACCGGATGCTCATAACATCTGATTCATTAGTCAATGCACACCTGAAGCCGAGTAGAAAACATCATATAGATTTACCTGAGGATGTTCAAAGTATGTTGATAAACTCACAAGAACAAGAAAATGTGAAAGAAGATAAATCACTAGAAACGGATGACAGCGATAGTGCTTTTGAAAACTTATAATATAATATATAGTAAATAAATTATTAAGGTTTTAATGCAGAACATTTTCTAAATTTTTATTGAATAATATATTTACAAATGAGTGTGTGTGTGTGTATGTGTGTGTGTGAGAGATCAAAATAGAGAGAAAAAGAGAGGGAAACAGATAGAGAAGAGAGAGAGAGAAAGAGAAAATTCTGTGTGAACTACATTTTTGCTTGAAACAAACATTGGTTTTGGTGGGGGCGACCCCGGCGTAGTGGTTAACATCCATACCTCTCACGCTAAAGTCACGAGTTCAAATCTAACCCCCGGACAAGTCACGAATGACCCAAGAGTGTTAAAGTGACTAAAATCAAAAAAAAAAAAAAGAAAAAAAAAAAAAAAAAAAAAAAACATTGGTTTTGGTTCTACCACAAACGAAGTGACAGACGACTAACTGGCATAGAAATCCATTAAAATAATGTGGTTCACTGTAATAGAATTTTCTTGGAAGCTGGTGCCATCATCCACCAGATGGGTTAGTTTTTTTGTTTTGGGTTGAACAAAGTTGATTTTGTGTACAATGATTCTTTGACAGTGTGCAAAGAGTGTATCATTTTGTCATTATTTTATGCATTTCAGTTTTGAGTAGAGTGAAAGAGATAGAACCAAAACATTCTAATACATTTGGTGAAAATGCTAGTACAATCCAGTAGTAGTGTTGCCATGTGGTACAATCCAGTAGTAGTGGTATTGCCATGTGGTACACTGAAAAATTGCAATAGCAGGTTAGTCACCAAAGTTTTCGAGCCGCTCCGTCTGTCACTTCGTTTGTGGTTCTACTATATGTACTCCTCCTTCAATTTTTTGACGTCTTGATTGTCAAGTTTTCTTTGTACAGCTAAAGAACATCCATTTCAACTGTTTTTTGTTTATTTGCAGCATTTTTGAGGTTTTGTCCAACTTTTGTTCTAAGGGGAACCACTGTGCATCGTGACCCGTTCTCCGTCGTTCCATCGTACAAAGGCTCCCCCACCGTCGTAGAGTCGCTACGCTAAGTGTTTATCACCTAGTGGAAATCTGTGAATCATCTAGTCTCGGTTACGATGTCTGGCAATCAAACTCTTCATAATCCACATCCTTCAGAGATCGTTCATTGTCCGCATCTTTTACCGTCCTCAAAAACTTCCGGAAATCGCCCAACCAACGCTCAATATAATTTAACACCTTGGATTTCACCTTCACCTCGCTTAGCATCTCTTCCACGTGCAGTCGGAACAGATTCTTGTGGTAGAAATATTTCGTTTCCTTCAACCGATTAATTTCCTCAACCGTCGGCGGTTTGTACAGCTGCTTCTTGGCTTTGATCTTTCGTTGGTCTTCGTCGCTTGGAATGGCTTTGCGCTTAGCGCCTTTCAATTTCGAAGATCCGACAGTCGTGACTAGTACAAAGCGTCCACCACTTTCTTGACCGATGTCGCTTTCCGGCTCTCAGGTTTCGAAAAACAAAACAAAATCAAGAGTTGTTAAAATACCGGTTGCCAAACAATTCAAAAGCAAACAAAAGTCAGTTCAATTACTTCTCGGCACTGCCGTGTCAGCTGCGGCACACTGAGAAAAAGTTGGCGCAAAACAAGTGTGTATTGCGACCACCCATTGGTTCAAACCTCGGTTCAAACCCAGAATAACGTTCATGAAATGTGTTCATTGCATTCTACTCGCTTACCGGAACAAAGTGAACACATTTCCCTTGACAGAATTTGGGTTTAAATGAAAAATTTGCTTTTGAATATCCAAAATTTAATGGCATTCCCTTATACCTTTAGGATTTAGAGATCGGTAAACACTCACATTTGGGCTTAGAAAACCCAAACTTTTGATCATTTTATTTTTCTGTGTAGTGAGTAATTCTAGATAGAGCAGGAATTAGGACGTAACAGCTTTTGTAAACAATGACTTCTATCGATGATTTCTAGGAATTCAAGGCACATCCACGTAGACCAACCTAACCATCGGATAGGGGAAGTCTTTCGCTACCCGATGAGGATGTTGGTTTGCGTGGGCGAGCCTTAAATTTCTAGAAATCATCATGAGAAGTCATTGTTTACAAAAGCTGATAGGCACTAATTCCAGCTCTATCTAGAATTGAGGTTTACTCCAAATTGAGTCAATTGAACGGTTTAACCATAGAGGCAACTTTAAGACCAGAAGGTCCCGAAGATACGTGCTCAACTTTTTGGCTCAGCTCTGGTACTATCTTCGGTCTTAAGCTAATCGATTCACCCCTCGAAACATAAGAAAATCCATGAACTCCTCATTTTATCTGTCAAACTTTCATAGCAAATCAAAACAAACATAGTGTAGTACTAGAATATTGACTAGAATGGGATACATTAATCGTTTACTTGGGACCAATAGGCTAGTCAAGTAGTGAGCCAAATTAAAATCGTTAGTTTCGAATTGATTGTTGGTTTAACACTCCGAACCCGGGACGGGACTTGACAATCGAGCTTCTCACTCTTCTTAATGTTTATGAAGAATGCCCTTCGGAAAGTTGTGCGTGGTGTTTGACGGAGTTGACCAATGATGCCAGAAATGTAAAATATTGTTTCTATTTTAATTTGGAGTTTATTCGGAGTTTCTACCGCAGTTCTACAGTTTTTGCTCAACACAATAAAAACAACCATAAACAAACAACAATATCCATCGCTTAAAACACGAAGTGCACTAAATTTCTCACCTTTCCTTTCGCAAATATAAAGAATTAACAACGCCATTTACGTCAACATTGATTCTGGCATCACTGCCAGCCAGATCGATGCGATCCCTCTGTCCTTTTTTATTTCACGATTGCTCGAAACTGGCTCGGATTTGACATCAAATTGGCTCGAAATCGCTACCCCATTGTCAAGTCCCGTCCCAGCTTCGAACATGATGCCTCCGTTAAAATGAGTAACGGCAAAACTGCAATGTTTGAAGAATCATTGCTCAGCCATTTATTTGCAAATTTTAAATCTATTGACGCCATTTTAAACTAAATATTTCAAAGATTTATTTGGTATCAATAGCTTGAAATCTATTAATAAATTGCTGAGCAATGATTTTTCAAACATTGCCAATTTGCTACTACACATTTTACCGGAGGCATCGTGTTCGGAGCGTTAAGTGGAAGATGAGTGAAATAAACTTAATTTAAGTTTGTTTTCCATTTCCGTGTATCGATTGTGGGTGGCCCTCAGTTGATGAATACGGTCCTGGATGCACTGCTGGGCACTCATTTTATGCTGCGTCCCTTCGTTTTCGTTTTGAAAACAAAAGACCACTCACCAACACTTGCACCCGTTCCCGTTTGCCTGTGGTTGTACAATCGCGCGATGCATTGCATTCCGCTCGCTTCGTTTGGTTTGGTGTTTTGAACGCGTAGCTTCTTGTGTGTGGATGGAAATATTTCAGTCCAAGTTGGCCCGTTCTTTCGTTCGGACGCGTAAAACCGGTAGTCGGCTCCTGGGTGTTGTGATTGGAAGGTGACTGATACTTTCTTCTTGTTCTTGGTGCTCTGGTGGATTCTATCCATTTCAGATGCTGCTTTCTCACCGAACATCAATCTGAATCCGGTGGTTAGAAGAAGCGTGAATTATTCCGGTGGGATTGTGTTTCTTGGTTGGTGTTTCGATCTCGATTATTGAATTATACGGCCGTGTTCGGTTCTGGCGGCGAAGGGGGAAGATGCTTCTGCGCTTCTTACCTGGTGGATGGTGAATACTTTCAAGTGTTGAATATTGCAGAAGAAAAGTGGCCATAAAGAGAGAGAGCGAGAGGTGCCAAAAACCAGTGAATTAACTGCCAAAAAGTGATTTCAATGCCGGTGTAGAATATGTTACTTTGCTAAATTGAAATTCCTGGGAAGAATTTCGAGATCAAACTTTAAAAGGTGAGCAACACAATTTATCGTCGTTTCCAACAAGATTGCCCGTAGTAGGAGTAATAGTAATAATTATTATCAGGGGAAATTCACACGTCCGAGCGGTTTGTTGTTGTTTTCCAATTGGAAACAAGAAGATCGCGTAATGCATTGCTTCCGGTTGCGGTGCGGGGCGTGTGGAATAATCGTGGTTTCAGAGTTCCGACCCGGTTGGAGATCGCGACGCGACTCGAGTGTGTGGGAGTGAGAATGCTTTCTGTTATCTTATTTGGAAGTTTGATGCCCTTGAAGCCACTAATTATTATCGACAGTGCTTTAACTTTCAACTACACTTTTGAGACTTTGAGAATTGTTTAAATTGTTTTTATTACTGGCAATTATTTCCAAACATAAATAGGTATACTTGCATCAGATTTTATTTATTTTTAGAAGTGGAAAGTCAATTGTTAGATCATTGGAATGAAATTCATGAATTATTCATAAATTTACCTATATGGTTGAAGATTATTTTGATATAAGTGGGGGATTCTCTTCACAATTATTTTGAAATTTTCTTAGGAATTCTTCTCAGAAACCACGAAGGAGAGTTCCAAAAATGCCCCCTGGAGTACTTCCAACAAACTATACACTGATCATTGAAATTAACTTCGAATTCTTAGTGGATTTCTCTTCAAACACTCCTCAGCATTCTCCTTAAAATCCCTTTGGAATTATGCTCAGAATACCATTTGCGTTTTCATCCAAATCCCAATTATCTCCCAATGATATCTTTGATAAATATCCGTAGAATTTGAGTTATGTTTGTTTGGAGTGGTTGTGAAACTATCAATTTAATTGGCCTCAAAAGATCTTTGAAATTGTGCTTACACAAATTCCTCACAATCCTCATAGAATTATCTTAGAGTTTTTGAAATCTTCCCTTCATTCACTGCAAGTTCCATCATTTCTTACCACGAAATGTTCCCCCATCCATTTCGCTTCAATCGGTTGCCCTGATGGATCCTCCCGTACCAAGCATATAATGTTTCATATAATAATGGAATTAAAGTTAAGAGAAAAATAAAGGAAAGATCTCACCCGATACGTTGCAAAGATCCATGACATCACGATGATTTTGAAATAAAAAAATGAAAAATGATCAGCTTCCGAAACCCAATCCAAGATTTGAGTTGTAGGACTTGAGAAAATCGATCCGGGTATTTGAGTGATTTTCGGAAATTCTAAGGAAATTCCATGGCAATTTTATGGACAATTACGGTTGATTTTTTAATAAAATCCAGAGGGTGACTAGAAGATTATTCTGAGTAGAATTTTAAGACATTTATGTGATTAATTTCATATATATTCTAAGAAGAAATCAAGTGCATTTTAAATAGAGTTATGGAAGAAATCTTCAGTGAATTCGTGCTACAATAATCAAAATTGGAATACAATCTTAGGGTGATTTCCAAGAACTTTCGGAATGTCGTGCAGTGAATTTCTGAAGTTATGTAGAAATTTTCAAGGAAATTTTAGAGATAATCTCAAGCCAGTGGTGCAGTCAGGATTGTAAACATCCAGGAAAACGATTCCCGCGAATTTTACGAAAAACCACGTTAAATGCTAGTTCCTGAGAAACGGCTAGAAAGGAATGCTGAATTAAAACTTTGTTGAGAGGTTTAGAAGGCTTTCGGGGCAAGTCACTAGGATTCCTGGAGAAGTCAGAAAGAGCTTCCAGGATAAATTGCAAGAATCTACAGGTAGCAGAACGCATGAACTTTTGGAGAAAGTCTCCCAAGTATCAATTTTGGTGCTATGAGGGTTCTGTAGACCATGATTTAGACTTATAGAATGCTTTTAAAAAACAATAATACTTGGAACGAACTTACAGATGATGTCACAAGAAGCTTCCGGAGGAAATCAGAAACATTTCTGGAGGAAATCTAAAGAAACCTCCATGAGAAGTTAGGGGCTGTCCATAAACTACGTATACATTTTAGGGGGGGGGGGGGTTGACAATTATCCACGGTCCATACAAATTTTAAAAATTTTGTATGGGCGATTGTCTACGCAGGGGGAGGGGGGGGGGGTCAAGAATCCCAAAAAACTGTCTACGTAGTTTATGAACAGGCCCTTATAAGTTCTTGCGATGAAAGTCGTAAGAAACATCCTAATAAAACTGGAACTACAGCCAAAAGTAGAAAATGTTATGAAAAATGTAACACACCAATAATTTCTTGCCAAAAATATTTCGATCATACATAATCTTGCAAATATTCCATAAAATCTTGCAGTTTTTTTTTACGTGTAGCTTCCGTGAAAATATATAAAGACATTTTGAGGGAAAAATTTTACGAGCCTTCTTGGATAAATCAGAAAAATAACTCCCAGGAGTGATCGGCAAAATCTTACAAATGAATGAATCCAAAAAAATCTGGAATTTGACCGATAAGACTTGCTCCTGCATTTTCAGATTACTAAGGAAATTTTTCATCGGGAGATCTTGAACAAACAAATTCCATTTCAAATATAAAATAATTGAGTGGACTACCTGATATTGAACTGAAGAAATCGCGTAAATTTTTGAAATTTGTGTCCGGAAAAGTGGTCGAACTATCCTGAATTTCCAGCTAGGGTGAATATCTAGTTAGGAACCAGTGTTCAAAGGGAATGATGCTAAGGAATTTCTTAAGAACATTCCAAAGTAATCCATTAAGAAGTATTGAGCGAATTATCAAGACAACAGCTTCTGAAGATTTACAATGAAGAAGCAAGTTCAAGATCCAGGATGCTAGTTCTAGTAATGACCCATAGTGGCTAGTGGCTTCTACGCTTCAATCGTAATCATTTTTACTTTGTTTATCGAACGGAGCAGAAGAACACGTCAATACATTCCTATCCATGCCCTAATTGACCTACATTTGGACGGCGGCCGGCGCTGCTTTTTAGCTACGGTAAAGTATGAGATCACCAAACATTGAAGATGCATGTTAGTTCTAAGCATCATTTGATCTGGCAATAACGGAGTAGCAAGCGCGAGCGGTTAATCATTCTCATGCTCATTTATGCCTGTACTAAAGCTCGATTCAAAGTAAATCTGGACGCACGGTTTAATACACCACCGCGCCCCTGGTGGTTGGAACAAAAAACGTTTGACAAGCACAAACAAAGTCAACGGTGAGTCTTGTAATCAAACGTTACAAGGATACTCTGAGTGTGGATAGAGCACAGCGCATCTATCATAAAAGTGGCACTAGGGACAAAGACCTGAGGAGAAAGGTGTTGAGGTACGTGAAAAGTAACCCAGGTGTCTCCATACGTGATTTGGCAAAGAAATACGATTCCAACTTTTCCACCGTGCGTAACATCCTTTCAAGAGAAGGATATAAGCCTTTTTGTGCCAGTAAACATCCGAATCACTCCCTGAAACAAAATTTAATGGCCAAAAAGCGAGCACGATTACTATACGAACGAGTTTTGACGAAATTTGATGGCTGTATTTTAATGGATGACGAAACATATGTCAAAATCGATTATAAACAAATCCCCGGACGAAAATTTTACCTGGAAACTGGTCGTGGGGATGTCCCTTCCAGGTATAAATTTGTTTTTGCTGATAGGTTTGCCCGGAAACTAATGATTTGGCAAGGAATCTACAGTTGTGGCCTTAAAATCAAGGTTTTCATCACATCTCACACATTGACGTTGAAGGTTTACATTAAAGAGTGTCTGGAAAAGTGAATTTTACCCTTCATTCGACAACACAAGACCAACGTTATGTTTTGGCCGGATCTAGCCAGCTGTCACTACTCCAAGGAGGTACTAGAATGGTATGCTGCAAACAATGTTAATTTCGTCGCCAAAGAGATTAATCCTCCGAATTACCCTGAGTTCAGACCGATCGAAAAATATTCGGCAATTGACAAGCGAAAACTTCGAGGATGCGGTAAAGAAGTGACAAATGCACAACAAATGCGTTTAAAGCGGAATAATGGCATCATGATGGCATCGATCACAAGTAAAGTGTGGCAGTTCGTTCGAAACGGTGAAATGTAATAACTTGTTATATATCGTTTGAAAGCTGAATATATACCCTTTTGTTTGACGTTTTGATCAACCGTGTATGTCGTTTAATTCTTGAGTTATGATCACTTGAATGCGTCCAAATTTACTTTGAATCGGGCTTTATCCGAAGTGATTCAGTACTTGCTGGAGTGTATTCAAACTGTTCTGCAGTAATTCAGTACTTTTCCAACCAATTCCAAGATTTTTTTTAAGTGTTCCAGTACTTTCCGAAGAGATTTCGAACTTTTTTTAAATGATTCTGTGCTTCCCGAAGTGATGCCGATTTTTCTGGAGTGATTGAATATTTTCTGATGAGATTCAGTTCATGAGCAAGTGATTGCAAACCTGAGTGAATTGATACAGTACTTTCCGAAGTGATTCCGAAATTTTCTGCAGTGATTCAGTACTATCCGAAGTTATTGCGAGATTTTGTGAAGTGATTCAGTTCATTCCGAAATTCAGTTCTTACGGAAGTGATTCCAATGGAAAGATTCAGTATTTTCCAAAGAAATTTTCTGAAGTGATTCAATATTATCCAAAGAGTTTTGGGGCTTTTCTGAAGTGATTCAGTACTTTCTGGAGTGATTAAAAACTTTTCTGAAATGATTTAATACTTTCTGAAGTGACTCCAATTGTTTCGTTAGTGATTCAGTACTTTCTGAAATGATTCAGTACTTTCCAAAGTGATTATAAACTTTTCTGAAGCGATTCAGTACTTTCCGAAGTGATTCCGAACATTCCTGAAATGGTTTAGTATTTTTCGAAATGATTCTGAAGTGATTCAGTGCATTCATAAGTGATTCAATTATCTTCGAAGTGATTCAGTTCTTACGGAAATGATTACAAACATTCCGCAGTGATTCAGTACTGTCTAAAGTGATTTCGATTTTTTCTGAAGTCATTCAGTACTTTAAGTAAATGATTCAGTACGTGTGGACGTGGTTACAAACTTTCTGGAAAAATTG